TGTTTTATCTTGTGAAATGACTTCAAGACTAGATGGTAGAAAGCTAGAAAACGCTCGACCACGAATTGAATTGTCTTCAGAAAAGTTTCGATTATACAGAGCCACTAATTCGATTGAAATAAAGGAAGTCGGCGGCTGCACTGGAAATAAGAATGAGAACGATGGAGCTTGTGATGCGCTTAGCAATTCAAATTAATCAAATTCCTCTATCACAGCAGCATCTGCCTGTGGTAAAAGCTTTCAACGAAGCTGAAAATGAGAGAATGTCCCAACGTCGATGAAATTCGCCGCCGCTTACTTGCTTGAAATAGATCAAATTTTGATGTGCAAATTCAACATGTGAATTGTAGTGTTTTTCCAAACTATTAGGTTGGCAAATAAGTCCTGCGACAAAAAAAAATTGAAGCGTTGAAAGTTTGAATCAACAGTGTGCACACGGTAGCAAGGGTGATAAACTCGTAGGACGTTCCCCGGGCAATCAACACATGAGTAAATAAGGGCACGCGTGTGGGCTTTCGCAGCATTACGGTCAATAAATGGACAACACCCGATTCGTATCATCATCTTCTACCAAGGACGCCAAGGAAAAAACGCGGGTGGAGCGGCTCGAAATATCAGCGATCTATTCAATGCTAGCACCGCTCACCGATCAACGGTCAACAATCGGTTGGATCGTCTCACTGCAGGAGATACTAGCCTTCGGAGTAAAGCAAGCATCGTCCCTTAATTTGATGCCGTTGAAGGAATCCATCCACTATGAGTAGCTAAACGCGGACTAGACGCACACAGCTATCGCTTAGCCCTATGATCCCCTTTATTTGGCCAATGGACTTAGAGAAGGATGATCAAAGACGTAAATCAGGTCCCTACAGAGGGACAACGCACGTCGAAAATTCGCTTTAGACCCACGTCAAAAGTTCACCGATCCCGCTCGGTTCCAGGTTGTTAATCAGTCTTACTCCCGGAGTGTTGCCCCTTTTGACTACCATGTGCCTCGACTTCTTGAGCATCCCGTTGTGGAAGTGAAATCCGTAACCTAATGTGATCTGAAAATGGCAGTCAATTACTCTTTGAGTCACAGCTCCCTCACTCCTGAACAGATGGCATCAATGATTGGCTAAAAGGATAAAAGAAGATTGTTCACTTTTTTGGTAAATATTTTTCCGAAAATTGTTTGATATGAAAAAATTAAGAAAAAAGGTCTCCAGTTTGTCGCAGGACTTATTTGCCAACCTAATATTTGTATTGTACGTTTATTCACAACTGCGCTAGTTCAATGTTGTCAGCGAAATGGAATCATATCATTCGTAACGTATTTTGTATAATTTATCTGTCAACATACTCTGCTCTAAAAATTTGAGCGCCTTTCCGTGGGCGTTACTTACCTATCCTGTTAACGGTGATCTTTTCCTGCTCAGACAGACGTCCGAATGTGCTCCCAGTTGACATTCACTTTAGAGCGATGAATCCCTCTCAGCCCACGAGCTTACGTTGGAGTGGGAGGATGCCGTAGAGTTGGTGGCATATCTCGGGTCGCCATGAACCTTTACACCTACTCCTAGTCCGGCGTCAACCTGCACCCTGGAAGGGTTCGAGGACAGGGCGAAAAGTACCCATGGAGGCGTGATCGATGCCAGACACGAGCCGGTACGCAATTTCTTCGGCGTGTAACGGCGTCGAGAGGGCCGCTCAGCAGTGGAATGGTAGGGGTCCGTGCGTGAAGGGTGTAACGTACGAAGTTTTTACGAGAGACACGATGTTATGAGGACCGGTTCATGGTGAAACGGTTACGCCACCGAGGGAGTGGGGTTCTCTTCGGCTTAACGATGATGATTCAATTGATTATTTTTCGAATTCGGTTATGGATGCCTGACAGTTATGAGCTAAAGGAGCGACCTATGATCTGCCAGAACGGGCTTTTTCGAAAAATAGGTGAAATTTGTAGGTTATGCTGAAGTTCGGGCTCGTCCAGTCTAGAACAAGTATCACTCTCTTGAGCGCAGTCCCTCATCGCACATCGGTATTTGCCTCCACACTTCCATGCCTTCAGGAGTTATTCCCAGCCCAGCAGGTTGCAATTACCTTCGTGATTACAACTCTCAATCAGGCCTTCGCTTTGGCAGAGTGTTCCCAGCAGATAATTGTTTTGTGGTCGTCGACGGTTTTACATTCCTTTGATTCGATTGTCCCTCCCAAGGTGCCCAGTTTTAAGACAGGTGATTAGCCAACTTAAGTATCTGTTTTTACTGCTGTGAATCTACTCCATTTCAAGCTCCACTTGACCACCGGAGCCTGTGAGGACAACAAACAATCGATATCTTCAATAAATTGGATTAGTGGATCTTCAACGAAACTGTACCGCCACACAGGTGTCCCCCGTCATCGATATTGCCACCATCGGAAACCGATAAATGGCGGAAAGACCACCCTCTCGACAGCCACTGAGCTATCGATCACCGGCTCATGGGTGGCCCTTAGGAGCCCTTTTCGATTGATTAGCGCTTCATGCGCCTCGACGGTCGCCCCCATTTCATTTGCACGATTAATTCTACTTTATTTCGGTTTTTCTAAACTTGGAATCTTCTCTTTGCTACTTTTTTACTTCGAACAATCTATCCTGATAACTTAGCTGGCCTTCTTTAATTCATCCACTTTGCTGTGGGCCCTCAATAGGGCTTCACTCACGCCGGTTTGACTTCACACCTCGCTTTCTCGTGGAGGGTATAAGTTTCTTGACCGGCTCCTACAGCTTTCGTAGCACACTACATGAGATCGGTGCAAAACACAAATGCTCTGCTCGCCCGTCTGCATGGATCACGTTGATAAATACCCTTGACCAGATTCATCGATGTACTGTGACGGTCGCATTCATCGCTTTTGGGCGAGCCGGCATGGCGCTTCCTGCCGTCATCTGCTTGTCAACATGTGAATAGACGAAGAACTTAAGAAAGGCTTCAAACCAGTGGGATGGAATGGAGGTGATGCCATTTCGGAAAGTATGTTACTGAACTGACACTCCCTTTACGAGTAATGGCTGATGCACGGTCACTTGATAGTAACTTTTGACTTTTTGGTGGTGTCGTAGACAGTAGTGATCGGTCCGTAGCATTGGAACTGTTGCCTGTGATTAACGCCATCAAGTGACCATCTCCCACCTTCGTCAATTAACAGTGTGCTGTTCATCTCTAAGTAGTTGCCGATTAGCTGAATCCAACCTGCTCGAAACCCTTGGTAGAGATTCCTAAAAAAAGCTCTCTTACAGTGTTCCTCTGGCTAGCGGGTCTGGGTTAGAATCCTCGCCAGTTAGTAAAAAATTCTTCACTGCGTCAGTACGTTAGTGGGTTTTAGGGCAGGTCCTGCCTTATGTGACTGTTTCCTTTCACACGTCCGCCTGATTACGTCGTGCCCTATGCCATCGACCATGGCGACCATCGGAACGGTCATTGCTGTTTAGGGTGATCTTGGCTAAATGACCCGTCTTCAATGGTTGGCCCTTTCCAGGATGCAGCTTTTGATTTACCAAAAAGCGATGGATCATGGGTAGTTTAATCCCGAATGAACCAGTAAGGCCGCCCAATACCCATACGGCAGCACGTATTCATTGATTTCAAGGGAGGGGCCCCCGTTTTTGACTTCTTTTTGACTTTCTGCTCTTCATCTAGGATTGTTTTGTGTGGTGCTGGCCCTGTTTTGTTTCTTCTCGGATGGCATCCACAGAAACACAACAATAACTGCTATGTTGAACAATTAGTTTCTTGCAGGATTCTTTCTAGCAAAGGAGTAAAACAAAGTAGACGTTGTTATGTGGTATTTTTTGATTAAAGAATTCGTGAGAGAACGACCAGTGTGTGGGTGGTTTGTGTCCCACTTGTATTGTTCACATGTTGATGCTATAATGTTTACTTACAATAGAAATAAAAATCCACTATAACCAAACGGCTACCCGTCTTCATAAATTCCACGACGCCGCTGGGGGTTGCTGCCTGTTCTAATTCTCTTTGGCTTTCTCCTTTCCATCTGAAACTGTTTGCTTCATTTATTCACCCTTCAATCGAGAGACCTTCGTTACGAAGTTTTCTTCAAGGCCTTCTTAGGATTCACGCTGCCTTCTTCAGGTTAACTGACGGCGCCGATCACTACCTTCCCCTCTTCCAATGGCGCCGATAAGGGTACACCTGACCACAGCAGGTGTGAGACTTTCCTTTGTTCTTTTACCATATTACTCACATTACCATACAGTAGTGGAGTTATAAGGTTTATTACAGGTGTGCGTTACCAGTGGATCGATAGCAAGCCCTCTATAGAAATCAGTTGTCCCAATTGTATGACTATCTCGAATAACAACAGAGTAGCCACTTGCCCTTGATACTGCCGCGCGGATGTCTGTACTCCTTTACCGAAGTTCCAAACCACGACCACGAGGATAAGACTTCTTTATCTCCTCAAACTTGGTTAATTAAACCATTGATGTAAAATGTACACGCTAGTACACAATACCAAATACTAGATAATACTGACAAAATACACTTCATCCAGAATATGATAAAGATAAACATAGAATAGAGTTGAGATAGAATGGCCGAGATAAGGAATGAGATACAAAAAACCTGTGAGGTTATACTGATACCGAAGAGCTTAAACAAGTCTAAGACCTAAAAGAGCTACAAAATAAGATAGTGAGTATATAAAAACAAAGTAAGTAAAGCCAAAAAGACAATGTGCTACGTGTGACGACGTCTATGAATGACTGGATATGCGATCTGTGGAAATTGTGTTGCGAAATATATGTAGTCTCTATATTCGCGGGCCTTTTGAATCCAGGAGTTGCGTTGTGGTATTCGCCCACAAGATCCTATAGGAATCGCGAGTAATCGAAATACTCCCCCCGGCCTAGCAAATGGTAAGGAAGTGAGAATGTGACAAATGAGATCATTGGAAGATATGTGATTGAAGTGATAAATCAGAGGCAATGTAACGTGTGTGTAGTCAACTATGAATGGTCACTTATAAGGAGTTGCTGAGAAGAAGGTCACTTGTGTTTGTCCTGTTACCTTTTTGTTTCCAGCTGCATTCTTGTGCTCGATGGTGAGCTCGTATTCTTTAACTTTCCGGACTAGCTCTTTTATATCCTTCGCGATCTGCTCTGCACGTTGGGGTTCCTCGCATAGCGCGGTGTGGTGACTTCGTTCACCACAGTGTCTGCATTGTTGACCTCCTCGTGGGCATCGTCCTTTATGGTGGTCTAACGGCAACAGGCAGATGTTGCATCTACTGTCGGTTCTTATCAGTCGTCTGCGTGTTCTTACGTCTCGGTACTCTGAACATGAGTCCGAATAGTGGCTGCCTACGGCAAGGCAGAAAGCGCACGGAAGATTTTGCTGTGTTGGTCGAGCACTCAGGAACATGCGCCATGCACGCGGCTTGTTTCTTCTCAACTGATTAACCTGTTGCTCGGCTCGAGCCTTCAATTCTCTGGTTTCCTCCAGATCAAGCTCCAAATCGGCAACTCTGTCCTCCTGAGAATCCTTGCCTGTTGCAGGCTGTCGAGAGCGTAAGATGTCTACGCGCCTGTGAGAGACGTTTCGTGAGGCTTCAGTGTCTGTGTTTTCCGGGGTTTTTTCCACTACAACTACGATTCTTTTGTCATCTTCATCACTCTCCACTTCATGCAGAACAACCAGGCCTTCGTCGAACTGCAGGTTGGCCTGTCTTGTTTCTAATTCTTCGTCATCAATATTTATAACTTCCATGAATTCCACGTTTTTGTGTATTGTAATCTTTTCCGCTTCCTGAATGTTGACGTCAGTGTTCGTCTTTACCGGTATTACGTCCGTGTCCTTCGTTTTTCCCGATGTTTCTGTGGTTGTTTCTGCAAGCTGTCTTGCGTTTCTTCCTCGCGTATGGTGTTCCTTTGTTTGCAACTTATGGTAGATTGCGTTCAAAGCTGCCAAGACCTCTCTTTCAAATGTTGTTCCTTCGGCGATTCCAGCTTCTTGGCTTCTGCGAACGTCATCATAATATTGTGCGCGGTTTTCATCCGCCATGGTTTGTCGAATACCTGCGAGTTGGGTGCTGTAGTTGCCGAGGAATTCCAAGTTGTTCGTGATCAATTGTCCCTGTTGATTCGGATCGAGTACAAGAGGTTGATTGTGATTGTCCACATGTTTCTCCTTCAAGAACAGGTTCCATGTTTCTGGGGTCAATCTCCCTCTTGCTACAAGTCCCTCATACTTACGGTGTAGAATCACCAGATGCCCGTGCCAGGTAAAACTGTAGCCTGAGCTTCTCCAGCTGTGCCTCTAAGGTCTCGATACGTAGATGTATAACGTGTGGATGGTCTTCAGAAACTTTGAGTATATCTATATTCGTGTCCAACTGAAGAACTGCCTTACTAGCGTCGCTATCAAGTTTCCTCAACAGACTGGAATGGCATACCGTATCGAAGGCTTTTGTGATGTCATAATAAATAACGTCAACATTATGCTTGGAATTTAGAGCGGAGATCCAGTCATAAGCGCAATCAATCAACTGAGCGCAGGTAGATGCTTCTGGGACAAACCCACGTTGTTCAAGGGGAACAAAATTCCTAGCGGTGAGCCATGATAACAGATGCTCTTTGATAAATTTCTCCAGAACTTTGATCGGAGTCGGTAGAATGCTTATAGGGCGGAACTCAGAGACTTCTTGGCACCGCTCACCTTGGGTATAGGAGTGACATACGCTAGCTTCCATTTTGCGGGAACTTCCCCCAGCAACAAAGAAATGTTGAAAATATGCGTTAGAGGAAGGGCGATGTGATGGTAAAAAGTCCTAAAGAAGAACTGCGGTATATCATCAGAAGTGAGCGAAAGGGAAGGCTTGAGTGAGCGGAGCTGTTTTTTAACCAGCTAATGGATAAGGTTGCTACAGAATCCCGGCTGTCGCGAGTGCGAGGATCGCTCCCAGGAGCCATGGGTGCGTCGGCGCCTGCGGGTATCTGTCGCCGCCCTGAGTTCCGCCCTATAAGCATTCTATCGACTCCGATCAAAGTTCTGGAGAAATTCATCAAAGAGCATCTGTTATCATGGCTCACCGCTAGGAATTTTGTTCCCCTTGAACAACGTGGGTTTGTCCCAGGAGCATCTATCTGCGCTCAGTTGATTGATTGCACTTATGACTGGATCTCCGTTCTAAATTCCAAGCATAATGTTGACGTTATTTATTATGACCTCACAAAAGCCTTCGATACGGTATGCCATTCCAGTCTGCTGAGGAAACTTGATAGCGTTGGAGTTAGAGGGAGACTATTAGACTGGTTCAAATNTCTCTTACCTAAGAACTCATCCTAGTACTAAAGTGGCGGCGTATGCGGACGACATTAAAGTCTATGCCGTATACACCGCACAAGGTAGGGAGGCTGTCCAAGTTGCCTTGAACGCCTCTGTTAAGAGGATGATGGAATGGACTAGACAATGGAATTTGAGTAAATTTTTCCAAGAGTCACTTATTTTCGCTCACTGGATATTCGCTTTGCGGTTATTGTGATCAATTCGGGCTTCTGACTTCGTGTGATCTAGTGAAGGATCTAGGTGTATTTTTCTGTAAGGGCCTCAAATGGAAATTCCAAATTGATAACGTTGTAAGCAAAGCTATGCGAGTTCTTCATTGTCTCTTTAGTAGTATTCTCTGTTGGGACTTGTTTGTTTGGATTAGGTTGTTTTGGACGTTTGTACTGCCTCTGATCGAGTATTGTGGCCCCGTTTGGAGCCCTTTTCTGAAGAGAGATATTGCTAAGATTGAAAGTGTTTAGAAGACGTTCACTAGAATCCTCCACTATCGCATTTTCCCCGATCCTAATTACCCCGCAGTTTGCCTGATTATAAAACTCGCTTGAAAGAACTAGATCTGAAATCACTCTTTTACAGAAGAGTGCAGGCTGACTTGGTTCTTGTTTTCAAAATAATCAGAGGGGAACTGCGTTTACGTCCATCCAAGTACTGGAATTTTCGCCCCTCCAACGGGAGGCGTGGGGGCTTACTCCACTTCTCCCNTAAGATGTCGTGAGCATGTTATCAGTGAACACAGTTTTTTTGCAGGACGAATAAGTGTTTAAGCAAGTTGCCTAGCGCAATGATGGCTTGTAAGAATTCCGCTCAGTTCAAAGCAGCTCTCAGAAAGATCAACATTCTTCAGGAAATTGGCGTTGAGGATATTTGTTGACACATCTATGAAATGAGCTGAGGCTTGAGACTTCTAGACCTTAGTATTATTATAGTTTTCTGTAGTTTGTTCTTTAGTGTTTGATCTTAACTTCTTAATGCTTTTTATTGTTTTGTTGTTTTTTTGTTTTTCTTTGTCAACTCTACCTCCTCCATGCTCAGGTTCCTCCCCCTTCATGCTCAGGTTGCGCAAGGCTTGGGCTTCAGCTCTCACCCGGCTTGCCGGTTCCACGAGGGCTGTCGGTATACTCGTGTCTCGAAGTTCCGGCAAGCTCCCATGACCTCTAATGTGGCGCTAAGGGCACCATTGCCGACTGGTGCGGGGGTCTGCCGTGAATTCCACTTGTGGTAGCCAGAGGCTTTTCTCTCTTGCCATCTTTCTTTAAATCTAGATTATAACTTCTCTTGATTCTTGGCTTCTTTCTTTCTTGGATTTTGGCCCATATGGATTCCTTCCTCTTGTCAATTTCTTGAATTGAGATTTGACCTGCGTTTACTTTGTGGTTATGCGTGCTACTCGGTATGTGATAGCGCGTCATTTTGGCGCAGAAATAAATAAAATAAAAATAAATAAGTATACTGATTGCAGGTGTGCCTCTCTTCTCGAGTGGATGCCATGACTATGCCGATTAGGCTGGGTCAGGACGGTCCACAATGTATTCGCGTGAAAGACCACAGGTATAAATTTTTGAGTTCTTTTTGTGCAAATCACCTGAGTTTCGTTCATTTCAGACCCATATGGGCGGTCGTGGTCCAAGTCGAGCAGTGAGAAGAGGGCAGCAGGTAGGATCGACAGCCGTCGACTAGTCCCGTCAGTCCATGTTCGTGTTGTCCGTGTCCTATGCATGCAATGTCCTGGTGGGTGTCAGTCCTCGTCTGTCCATGTCTTTCCCTTTGTTGTGCCTGTTCACTTCCACTGTGTCTGTCCGTCCATGTCCCTGTCTGTCTGTATCTGTTTGTGGGTGTCCATCTGTGTGCTGTTCGTCCCTCTCCACCCTTGGGCATCTCTCCCTCCGTTCATCTGTCTCCGTTTGTCTGTATCTGTCTTTGTCTGCCTGTCTTACTGTCTGTCTGCGTTCTGTCAATGTCTGCTTCTGGCTGTCTGTCTGCGACCATCCAACCTCCTGTCTTTCTGTATGTCTGCTTGTCCGTTATTGGATCTGTCCTTCTTGTCTCTGTTATTTATGTGGAGACACCGCTGTCCATGAAAGGGCTCATAGGCTAGTGCTCTTCTTCATGATTACCTGGGGCGGGCTCTTAATCACCATATCTTTCTGGGGCACTTCCTCCATCCGTCTCCTCCTTGTTCACGTTTCTTATATTAGATCACTTTTTCTTGCGAAGGATTGGAGGGGACAGAATGATGGAGGAATGGTTGGAGTCCTTTTGTAACGGACTTTAACCACTTCTCCTTCATCCTCTCACCGCTAATCTTTCAGTATTTCTCCATTTCTTCCCACATTTTCTTATTTCTCAAATCCTCAGTATTTCTTTTTCTTTCTGTGTTGAGTTCAGCTTTATTGTGCCTTTCCATACTTTCTTCTCTCTTCTATCCCTTTTTTGGTTTCCTAACAACATTCTTTTTCAAAGCGTTCTTCATTTTCTACTTGGTCTTTTAGCTCTAAATGCTTTTCCAGTTTTATTCATATTTTCTAATTTTTTTCAAGTCCTTTTCGCCAAGTTTCTTCTCAATACTCCTTCACCTCTGCCTTTTGTTCCTGTTTATTATCCTTTTTCCTACTATTCCCGTCTATTATTTCTTTCTCTCCTTGTAATGCTGTATTTTCTGAACTCGTTCCTTTATTTTTTGTATTTTCCTGCCAACATGTTCCTATTACCTAATATTTTACCTTCCAGTAGCATGCTTCTCCGAGCTTCTAGCTCTCTTTTGATCGGTGCATTTTCTAGGCTTAGTCATTTCGTTGCTATTCATCTCTTCCAGATCCTTTGCTTCATAA